TTTGTTTAGTTCGGAAGCCTATTCGATCGGTGTTCGCAAATTTCTGAGTGAAGATATATTTATATATACATGGCACTGTGGTGTTCATCCGTTCAATCTGATTTTAGACATATACTTGTCCCAGTGTGCCTCGAGGCTCCTATTTGAGTCATTTCAGGTTGACACTTGGCGACCTCAGATATATGATGAAGTGGATCCGACAAAGCAAACGGAGACCAAAATGGCCATTTCGGGCTTATTAGCCGTCATCAGTAAGTCCTACCCAATCCCAAGGGTTGGAGCCATCCAGATTCGAACCCGGGACATTTGATTATTGAGTTAAACCTTCTAACTCGGCACCATGGGCTCGTTGCCTTCTCGGATGTGATCGGGGATATGGTGGAACTGGGGAATTCATCCGATCTATCTGATATTGGGCATATACGTATCCTGCTTTGCCTTGAGGCTCTACTTGAGTGATTTCAGGCTGCCGCATATCGACCTCATATACATGAAGTAGTGGGTCCGACAATGCAAAGAGAGACCCAAATGGCCATTTCCGGCTTGTTAGCCGTCATTGGGATGGTCATTCCCAATCCGAAGCGTTGAAATCCCCTTGATTCGAAACCGGGACCTTTGGTCATTGAATTTCGAACTCGCATTTCCCTGGTCAGAGGCCAAAGCTCTAACCATCGAGATACGAGCCCGCAGTCTTGCCGGTATTAGATCGGGGATACACAGTAGCGGATACACATACACCAATCTGTTAGATGACCCACTTGTCAGTCTATGTTGCCATTAGAGCACTCACTCGAGCCTGCACCGCGAAGCGACTATGATGTAGGCGGAAGAACATTACCGCGAAGACATGGAACAATGCGAGTACTCACTATTTTCGGCAAGAATGATTATAGGGGCTGAAAATCTCATTGCCTTATAATAAAAAACTACTTTAAAATGTTCGGTAGCCTGACTTTAAATTTTTTCGTTAAATTGCAGCAATAGGAGGACGAATCTCCATTTTCGTTAAATTCCGCCTACATAAGGTCAAATTGCCCTGGATTAGCTTTCGTGTTCTACGCAATTCTATTTAGCATATTAAAACAAACACAATCTTGTTTAATTTAATATTTTTTGATCAATTCCGCCACAACTACATATTAATTTACGCTCACTAGCCAAGAATTAAATGTTTAACAACAAAATACTTTAAGCAGTTGGGCGGGGGAAATAGATATCTAGTGGGCCCTTCAAATCATGTTTGCCCCATTTTCAATGCCCGAGATACCCATAACTGTCAGAAGAAATACATGGCGAGGCAATTTCGATCAAGTGAGAGTCGAACTCACGCGCACAGAATGGAATTCTTTATTCTCTGGTAGCATAAACTAGGACTGGGAAGCGTTCCGGGACATATGGTACAGGCTCATTGAACACAATTGCCAATTTACGAGGAACAGGTTGACCAACAGACCGCAATGGCTTACGCAGGCCTTAAAAGAGTAAGTCAACAAAGTGACAATTGTAACAAAAATCGCTTACGGACAGGAATCCTGCCGTTCTAAGTGCGTACAAAACTCAGAGGAATCGGGTCAAGGGCCTTATACTTAGAACAAGACGGGATTTCGCAGTGGACCTGCTGAACCGCGCCACAGTGAATCTCAGTTTCACACCTTCCTAAGGCAGAGCACTCATAACGAGGATCCGATACCCCTACTGAAGACCCTCGAAAGTGTAGACCTCACTGAAGACGAAGCGAAAGCTGATCATCTTTCAGAAAGTTTCTGGTCAGTTGGCACAAAAGAAACGGTATACGATTACACCGCCGATGACGCCAATGAGGATAAAATAGTTCACACTTTTCAATTCACTGAGGCTACGATCCTTATGGAACTGCTGTGGTTAAACGAATATAAGTCACCGAGTCCCGATGAAATACCGGCAAAAATGCTGAAAGAGCTCGCCAATGAGTTGGTAAAACCACTCTGCGCTTTTCCAAACATCCTTCGAGAAGGGATGTCTACCACCTGAACGGAAATCCGCGTGGAAGACGGGTCTTCGCAAATAATTATCGTTCGGTCAGCCTTACTGTAATTTGCCGCAAAATTATGGGAGACATAATCAAGCAACAACTAATACAGTCCCTAGAACAGAACCATTTGCTTTCCAACGTCCAGCACGGCTTTCGTAGAGGTAGGTTCTGTGTGAAGAATTTGCTGTACTGTTCGGAACGTTGGACTGAAGCAGGCGACACAGGGCACACGGTGCACGCTGTCTACATTGATTTCAAAAAGGCCTTCAATAGCGTGCCACACCATTGCCTTCTTTATAAACTCAGCCGCATACGAGTAAGAGGTAGGCTTCTGGCTTGGATAGAAAACTTCTTAATCAGCCACTCGCAAACTGTCCATATCAGCGACAAGCAGTCGGCGAAGGTTGCAGTTGAGAGTGGCGTTCCCCAAGGCTCCGTTCTCGGCCTGATTTCGTTCATTGTCTACATCAATGATTTCGTCAGCGAAGTGGATTGTGATATCGCCATGTTTGCCGATGATATCAAGCTCTGGCGCGTCATTCGAACTGCGGTGGACGAAGAGAACTTGAGGGCAAACCCGAATACGTTCGAAAAAATGGTCAAAGGCCTGGCTCTTACCGTTAAATGAGAGCAAGTGCAACGTCATACGTACCAGTACCTTCAGCTCTTCAAACCATACAGTTTATCTGCTAAGTGCCATACCACTGAAAGAGGTAGAAGCCCAGAAAGACTTGGGAGTCTGGATCACGCCCTCGCTTAAACCATCCCCACACTGCGCAAAGGTAGCCAAGTCTGCGATGTCGGTGCTATACCTCGCCAAGCGAGCTTTTTCTACCTTCAATGGCGACTGCTTAACAAAAGTCTTCGAAACCTTTGCACGGCCGCAACTGGAATCCGCTATCCAAGCTTGGAGACCCTGGGCCGCGCAAGACATCAACATCCTCGAAAAGGTTCAAAGTCGAGCAACCAAACTCGTTATTGGGCAGGGCTCAGAGTCTTATGAAACGCGGCTGTCGAATCTCAACCTCTTTCCATTGCGATATAAGCAGCTTTGTGGAGACCTGATGCTAACATTTCGCATATTACGTATTCGGGACTGTTGTCTTGTATCAGGAGATTTCTTCAAGTTAGCAACAACAACGAATTTGAGAGGACAACCCCTGAAATTACGAGTGACCGGAGCCAGGTTGAACCCTCAGAAGCACTGCTCTATAAAGATGGTCAAAGCTTGGAATACGCTTCCTCTGGATGTCGTTATGACGGAATCTCACGAGGTATTTAGGCGAATGGTGGGTCGATATAGCAATGCGCTCTATAATAAGAACTGAACGCCGCAGACAATTTTAATTATACTAGTACTTTCAATATTACAGAAGTATTAGTTTATAGCATAACGTTTTAGGGAGGATTTCGCTTCAATCAGCTCGGCTACCAACGGTGAATCGCAATACTAATATTACTAGCTATATTTCAGCAACGTTTACATATGCTATTTTAAACATGAAACCCCAGGGCCGACGCTGTCAGCAGTCTTCCCTATTTTGGTCATCCGCGTAACGCGACGACCCCGTCAAAGATCGCACCAGCCGAACCTGGCGGCCTAAACACTCACCCTTATTTCGACCCGCAGCGGACTGTCGACGAGCTGGGCGGATGTTTATGTTTTCCAACTTTGTCGGGGGACTCTGCAATCAGCAAGAAAGTATCAGGCCGCATCTTCCACACCCGGTGATGATCCTGGTGACCTTTGCAGTACCCCCCTCCCCCCAAGAGTAGACGTTTTTCTCCGCTTCAAACCCATGCAACTCTTTTGGGAGGGGTTATGCAAACGAAGAGCACCACCTGTAGGTCAATGTGCACTTATTCTCACTTGAATGCGTGCACATGAAAAGCAGTGGGCTCTTTGAGAATTGTAGCAGCTGACTCAATTTCCTAATTCTCTGGCTTCTCGGTGCCTGACTAAGCGGGCTTAAGGACACATGCTTCGGCCAAGTGGGCCAAGCCCTAAACATAGTTAACAGCAAATAAATCCAAATACGACATTAACGTGATGAATTTCACAAGCGTCCAAAATCGGGAAAGAAAAAAAGAGGCGCGTCTGTCGAGGGTGAATAGCTTCAACTGGCTCAAATACGATTGAAACGTCCCAAAGTGCGACGGCAGTTGGGACATTTGTGGCGTACATCCTGGCAGGAGTCCACACAGAAGGGTATGAGGCAGCAACAGCAAGGTCCCCTGATAACGTGAGAAAAAGCACAGAAAGTACATTAATCATGAACAGCGTATGCTAAAAATAGAGTAGCGACCTACTTCGACACAACAGCGTGATCACAGTTAAGTTTCACGACTAACCAATTATTAGTAATTAAGCCCTAAACTGTCGTCTGCTTGGAAGACAGTGAGAGTGGTAGATGGTTTGTGGGTAGATTGATGGCAGTCGTACTTGCCTTGCGGACGTTAATTCTGGCCGGGTGTCTTACAAATCAGCCCGGATGAAGCCTAGGACGCACGTAAGATCATTTATTTTTATTATAGCCTAGTTTTCCTCGCCGCAGCAGTAAATTAGCTTTATTAGTTACACATAATTATAATCTAGCTCTCCTTAAAAAATAGGATTTATGTCATATTTCTGAACTAATAATACTGTTACAGGAATATACTAAGCTTCAATAACTAACTGACTGCTGGAGATACATTAGATAGATGATGTACTGGATATTCTGAGCTACAACTAGATATTGTAGATGTTGCAGAAGTCTGAAATAAGTGAGCGCCTAGCGGTGAGATCGAGTTCAAAAATGTATCTGGCCTATCAACATACTACAGCAGACGCCAAAGATCATGCAACATTTCGACATATGCAAAAGCTTGATACTATTTCAGTAATCGGCATTGACTCAATTTGTGATACTGATTACCGTGTAGTCTATTCTAAACTCAATTCAGTCAGGACAGGATGCGGGCTTTTTAACGAGCTTCGTTCTGACCGGTAGCGAAATGTGTCTATTGAACAAACTGGCTACTTAAGTAGC